GGGACATTGTCCCAGCGGGAGCTAGAGTCCCATCTAATTGGAATGCCCCTCCGCGCCCCCCCCCCCCCGGCCCCCGCCACAGGTGGACCACAGCTGCATGGAGAACAGAATAATTACCATCGGTCAGAAATAACAGCCCTGTTTTACAGACGGGAAACTGAGGCCTGACAGGGGAGCGATGACAGGGGAGTGACGGGCCCTGGAAGCACTACCCAAGGACCTCTCCATAGGTTTCTTCCACGTCTGGTTGTCCAGCCATGCCCTGGCCAACATGTTTCCCCTGCCCGCTTGTGGAAGGCCTTTGTGCGTGGTCCTCCCTTTACTGGGGCCACAGAGGACTCTTCAGGGCCAAAGACTGCCTCCAATGGCCCTGGAGCTGGCTGTGACTTTCTCCTCCACCCTGGGGGAGAGGGGTGGGCCCCCCAGAATGCAGGAGGTCTGGGGGAAGTCAAGGGGGTCCTTTCAGTTTCCTGAGAGTGCTGGAAGGAGTGGTGGGCATTCATCCGCTGGTTTTAGCGGGGGCCACATAGCTGGGAGCACATGTTCTCTCTGTTCCCCTTCTGTGGAATTGGGGGAACAAAATTCCCACCGTGGGGAGTGGTGTCCCTGGCAGGCCAGGTAAGAGGTCCTGTGCTGAGCTCAGCTTGGGGCTGACTCACGCAGGTGCCTCTCCCGGGGGCCCGCTGGAGTCGCCCGGCCTCCCTGGGGCTCCCACGAGGCAGCCCAGTGGCTCAGGGCCCTGTACACGTGCGGGCTCGAGAGTGCCACCGGCCTGCCCGCCTCCCCCTCCTGCCTGTGATGAGGCCTGAGCACGGCCGCAAGTGCTGGGCTCGGGGAGCTGTCCTCACTCACTCACAGGTCCTCACTGTCCTCACGCCTTGGCCCCGGGGCCTGCTGACTTGGGGTTTTGTCCTGCGCCGGGCCTGGGCCCGCCCTTTGAGGAGGACGTCTGTCTACGTGCCCATGGGATTCACTGGGGAGAACGGGACAAGTGAGGCCTAGCCCCACACAACACACAGACCATCCCTTAGGTTGCTGGTCCAGCTAAAGACATTCGACAGCCAGGCTTCTAGGAAGAGAGGCCACGAGTACAGCCTGTGCTGGCATTTCGGCCACCGGTGATGTCTGTCCCAGAGGGGAGCTCTGAAGGGCAGGGACAGAACAGCCCAGCCCTGCCAGGTGTGACCGGAAGCACATACTTGGGAGTCCTCAGGAGGGGCTCAGGGGGGAGGCAAGCCATCCCCTGAGAGGGCAGTAGAGTGCGGGGTGCTGGGGCAGGGGAGGTGCAGATTCCCGGGCTGACACCTGCTAGCTGTCAACTTTCTTTCCCGGTCTGAGCCTTGGTTTCACCGACTGCCCAATGGGTTTACTGAGCCTGCCCTCCCAGGGCTGGTGCGAGGACTCGGCGAGTTTACAGAAGGCTCTGTAAACCGTGAAGTGCTGAAAAACTGGTGAGCCGTTCTGATGACCTGCCACAGGCAGGCAGATGACGCAATTCCCGAGTTCATCCCCGGGAAGGCCCAGAGCCCTGCTGCAGGCTCAAGGCGGGGGATCCAGGAGAGCCTGTCCTGGCTAAGGCTGGGAATGTCCTCAGTTCCCTTGGCACTTCAGCTGGGGAAATCTGGTTGGAGACACAGCGTGCTCCTCCCAGGACTTGCAAGAGAACACAGTGATCAAGAGGTTAGGGTCTGCATCAGAGAGACCTGGGTTTGAATCTGCACTTTACTATTTACCGGCTCTGGTAAGGAGAGTGTCCACGGGGGTCGCAGGGGCCCAGAAGGCAGAGCCCAAGCAAGGGGAAAAGGCAGCCCCATGGAGGGTTGGCCTGGTGCGGGTATCAGAGCCCAAAGGCTTGGGAAGTTGTCCACGTAGGGGAGAAGCCTACAGGGGGTGCCAGAGCCCAAGGGAGGTGAGGAGGGCACCCCTGTGTGTGCATGGGATGGGGGGACGGCAGAGGGAGACTGGTTACACGTAAAGGGATTGACCGGATTGGGAAATATGCTCAGGATAAAAGAAGCCAGACTTTCGTGTCAGAGAAGAGAGCTGCAGGTATAGACAGGGAGAGGAGGAAACACAAATACGGAATTAAATGTGTGCATTAGGTACTCACCATACACACACGTTTGTATACGTGTGTGTGTGTGTGTGTGTGTGTGTGTGTGTGTCTGTATAGATAGATTTTCTGCCCCCTCCCCCCACCCCGACCCCTCCTCTGTCCTACTGAGAGGGCCTGGGAGCAGCAACTTCCCACTGGCAGTGAGCACATTTGACACCCAGATGTTGGCTTCTATGTACCCTTCTCCACTACAGGAGCCACGGTTCTTTGCAGACATGGCTGATTGTAAGGGAAAGTACCAGATGAAGCTGGGATGTCTTCTGCCAGAAAGCAAGGAGATGCTCAAAGAATCACGGAGACATACTCCCATGCCCCAGGAGCCACTTGAAGGGACGACCACTGGCCCTGGTTATGTCTGTTGTCGCAAACAACGGTAATAATGGATTATAAGCTGTTGGATACAGTAAGCAGCCACGTGTCCATACTATTCTACCTCAGTAAGTGAATACATTGAGAATTTGATGAAGAAAGGATTCTTTACAAAGCCTCAAAGTATGTCCTCACAAATTGCTTATTAATTACAAGGCAAGAAACAGTAACTTGACAGGAAGGAAACCTGGCAGATTCCACCTTAATCAAGTGACCCAATTTCACATCACCAGTAAGGGAACCAATTCAAAGCCAAGTGGGTGGCCCCCGGGATGAATCTAGCCATGAAGAAACATCAGCCAAATGTCTTTCAAAAAGGAAGTGTGAGTATGGGGAATGAAGGAATGTCTTCAAAAGGAAGTGTGAGTATGGGGTCCGGACAGAGAAGCCCTGATAGGTCCAGATTCCGCCCTGGGTGCTTTTGCTATAAAAGGCATTGCTGGGATGGTTGGTGAAACTTACATGAGGCCAGGGAGCAGAAGGTGGTAAAACGTGTCAATGCCAACTTACTGTGGCTGTTTGTAGAAAGTAAACGCTAAAGACTTTGGAATATCGGGGGCCTCGGGAACAACTTACTCTCTTACTCAGGGACTTCCTCTCCAGTGGTTCCACAAAAATCTTAGTATTGCATGTGCAAATTTTCTCCAGGTCTGCAATCGCTTCAAAGCTTTAAAATCTATTAGTATAGGGGCACCTGGGTGGCTCAGTCGGTTGGGTGTCCAACTTCGGCCCGGGTCATGATCTCACGGTCCGTGAGTTCGAGCCCCCCGTCGGGCTCTGTGCTGTCAGTTCAGAGCCTGGAGCCGGCTTCGGATTCTGTGTCTCCCTCTCTCTCTCTGCCCCTCCCCCACTCACGCTCTGTCTCTATCAAAAATGAATAAACATTTAAAAAAATTAAAATCTATTAGTATAAAAGCAAATACGTCAATGACAACAGAAGAATTCCAAGAGCGCGGCACTCAGACAAATCCTGACATAGTATGTGCTCACCTAATGTCCAGAGTTACGCTGATGACTGCCAGGCTTACTGCACCTCCTGGCCTTGTCTTCTCTTTCTGCCCATCCCTGCCACTTCCCTTCCTGCTCAAAAGTCACCTCCTCCAGGAAGCCCTTTATGAAAATGTCATGTGTATCAATGACTGTGGTTGCCTGGCCTCTCCCAGATCCCGGCCTCCTGCTTTGTTTTAATTCACAATTGCTGGTGTAGCACAGGAAGCATAGGAAGGGGTTGGGCTGGATGAACCCCCATCCCCAAGCTCTTCTCCTGCCCTAAATTTCCAGCATCCTCTGACTGGGTGTCCGCCCCTTTTCTCAGAGCAGAAGTCTTCCCAGAAATCACCCCCTCAAGGTCAAGGCCCTTCCTGTCCTGTCCCAGAGTCACAGCGAATCTGGTTCATTGAGTCCATTCCCCTGCCTCTCGGCAGGGACTTTCTTACACCGGCTTGGGAAAGGGGGGCCTTATCTTTTTTCTACATTCCAGGGAACAGGGTTTCCAAAGCATACATCCTGGAGCGATCCCGTAGGCTAGGCTGCCTCGCAGAAGTGTGGCATGTACATTCCCCAGCTTTCTGGCTTCTCACCCACCGGTTCACACAGTTGTCACTGACGGGAGCCACACATCCTTGCAAGGTGCCAGGCACTGACCTGGGAACCTTACTCCCATTAGCTCGCTTAAGGCTCGCACATCGTGATGAGGTAGCTACAGTTCAACGCCCACTTTACAGATGAGGAACGGGAGGCTGTGAGAGGCCGTGCTTTCTCTGTGGGGCCTGGTCCAGCATCGGGCCAGCAGCTTTGGGTACATGTGCTCGGTTCATCCCCAAGGGGTGGTCCCCGGGAGGACCATGGGATGGTCCAAATTACTTTCTCATTTTTTAGGATGGGCCCAAGGCTTACACAATTTAAGGGGGACTCTAAAGAAAAGGGTACAAAAATATTCTGCGTTTGTAAATTATGCAAAAAAAAGAGATTCGACCCAAGTTCCTGGGAACTTTCCCTCTCCTGTCCTCTCCTCAGGTGGCTTTCTGGATCTTGCCACATTCTCGGAGTGAACTGGGCCAGGTAAGGGTGGGGCTCTGTCTGGCTTCAGGGTGGGGCAAGTTAGAAACCCCAGGCTTGGACTGGCCTTAAGAATCACCTTGGGAGCTTACCAAGAATTCATGTTCTTGGGCCCTTGGACCCCCAGACACAGATTTAGTGGGCAGGGCCTGGGAGTCTGTATTTTCAACAGGTCCCCAGGTGAGGTGGCTGCGGTCACCTAGCTCCTGGACACCCCCCCCCCCACCCCTGTCACCTCTGCGTCTGGTTCCCTGCCAGGGCATTGTGGCTGAGGTCTGGGTTAACAGCCGTGGGCTGAGCGGGCCTCACTCCTCAGGTATGCAATTAGCAGCCCCAAGAACAATACCCTCATTTTAATCATTACAGCTTGGAGCCGCCTGGCAATTTGCTGCTGCTTTTACTGCACTAACAAGCTCTGGCTTGGGAACAGGGGGTGGAGGGTTCTCCTTTCATCCCGGCATTCCCAAACACCTGCTCAGGGGGCTGTGGGAGAGCAGGAGAGATGCCTAGCACCGCCTAGGACAATCTGGGGAGTCTTCCTGGGGGTGGTGGCTGCTGGTTATCCAGTGGCAGGATCCAGAAAGGGGCTGGCATCTGGCCCGGTGCTGGTGATACATTGGTAGATAGACAGGTGGACTCCACCCAGGCCCTTGCGGGGCTCACAGGGCGCTCGGAGGGTAAATGTGGTAGCGGACAAGAGGGGCCCCAGCTCAGCTGGGGTGGGGCAGGGGGGCCAGAGCAGGCTTCCTGGGAAGAGATGACATCTTCATTGAGCCCTGAAGGGTAAGTCAAGGTGGGCCAGGTGAAGGGGGTGGGGGCAGCTTGGGCAGATGGGTTTTCTGGTCAGAAGGAACAGCGTGTGTAAGGCTCAATGAGCCTCATCAGCAGTGCCGAGGGGCGGGACCCCAACTGAAGGGTGACCTGTGGTACATTAGGGTTTTCTAAAGGTGGCTGTGACACTACTTTCCATCTCTCTTGCTCTTTTTTCTTTTTTTTTTTTTTTTTCAAGTTTATTTTTTGAGATAGAGAGAGCATGCACAGGGGAGGGGAAGAGAGAGAGAGGGAGAGAGAGCCCGACGTGCGGCTCGAACCCACGATCGTGACCCCAGCCGAAGTCATGAGTCAGAGCTTAACCGACTGAGCCACCAGGCGCCCCTCTCTGGCTCTTTTTCCAGCGTGACCTTGACATTCCTCCCATCCAACGCTGGGTCTAGGTCCCCTTTCCTTGAACCCGGGTGGAGCTTTGTGTCTGACACTCCGTGATCTCCAAGGTGAGGTCAGGAAAATATCTTTCCATCTTGCTCTCTTGGGACAGTCACTCTTTGAACCTGGCCGTCATGCTGTGAGGAAGCCCAAACCAGTCCGCGTGGAGAGATGATGCGTAGGTGTCCAGCCCCCAGCATTGCCAAGGTCCTGCTGACAGCCAGCATCAACAGCCAGACGCGTGAGCAAAGACTCCTCCAGACGGTTCCCAGCTCCACCCATCAAGTCTCCCCAGCCTTCAAGTTTTCCCAGCCGAGGCCCCAAACATCACGGAGAGGAATGAAGCCATTCCCAATGTGCCCAGTCTGTTCCTGGCCCAGAGGCTCTGAGCCTAATAAAGCGGTTGTGTTATGCCCCTAGGTTGCGGGTACTCTGTTCCTCGGCACTGGTAGCTGGCGCAGGTGGTGAAACGCCACAGGACTTTCACGGGGAGCACCCCAGTGGATGCTTTGGAAAGCTCACCCAGTGTGCAGGGTCGGCGGTGGGTTGGCAGGGCTGAGACTGGACCCGCCCCGGGTGACCCAACGCTCACACCTCCCCAGGCTGCCCTTTGCTTTGTCCCTCTCAGTGTCACAGCGTTCTTTCTCAGGTCCAGTCGACATCTGCTTCCCCGAAGTCTCCCTGTGTTTGATGTTGTTCTTCCTCCGGATTCCCGTGCAATCCGTCTCTTCCATTCTGTTCTTCAAGGATGTGCCGGCGGCAGGGACCCTCCAGCCTACTCTTGTACAATTAGCAGCTCTGGTTGTGTCACCTGCCCCTCACGTGGTTTTGAGCTGCAGACCTCACGTGGGTTCAAGTCCAGGCTCTGCTACATCTAGCCGACTGGCTCGCCTGTCTGAGTTCTCTTGGAGAACAGGGACCACAATGGTGCCCAACTCCTATCACTGTGAGAGGGACATGGGAGAATGTTCAGAAGGCATTTGGCACGGGGTAAGGACTCCTTTGTACACGGAGACCCCGCGTTTCCACCTCACCTTGTCTGGGTTTCCCTGGACGTCACTGGGCAGTCCGCCCACCCGGATGGTGTGCTGTGTTGACTCAGGTGGCTTGGGCTTCCAGAGCTGGAGGGAACAATGGGGGGCTCCTGGGCCCTTGTGGGGAGGGGGAGGGGAACGGGTTGGAGGGGGAGGGTCCTGCCTCCCCCACCCCCAGCCTCTCCACTTGGATCTGATTTTCATAAGACTTCGACAATTTTTGTTTTCTTTTAAACTAAAACAAGGTTTAAAATCACCTCACTGCTTCCCTAAGCATCAATTTCCCCTTTTGCGTTACAGGGGGGCGGCGCCCCCCGCCGCGTGGGGGGGGGGGGGCGGGCGGCGGAGCATGTGATCCAAACTAGCCAATCAGTGTGTTCCATTTCTCCGTCCACCGGCGTTGGCTCCAAGGGCATGTGACCAAAGCAGGACCAATCAGAGTGAACCTTAGGGCTTGAGCCGGATTGATGGGGAGGGGCCCCTGGGGCCTCGTGAGGGGCTCAGTTCCGCCCAGGCTGGGATTAGATGGGGGGAAAAGGTTGGCGTGGGGTGGTTTTCGCAGCGGCTGTGTCCAGCCCCACCTGCTACGAAACTTTTGGCTTCTCCATTGTTCGGGCCAGATCTTTAGTTGAGCTTCGCCGCCGTGTAAGTGAAAGCATCTTCCTGCTAATGCGGTGTTCAGTCCCAGGCCTGGGATGCTCCCTTGACCGCTGGGCGCTTCCAGGCTCATGGCCCTTTGACCTCTGAGCCCCTCCTCCAGGTTGCTTCCATCTCCCCACTCGCAGGCGGGGACCCGGGCAGGCGCCCGCGCCCGGCCCCTGGCTCAGCCCTTGGAACTGGTGGGGCTGACTTTCTCACGGAGGCCACCCGCCTCCGCCCACCCACCACCCCCAGAGCCACAACCCCGGGCACTTCGGCCCCTGAACCATCCACCTGCAGAGGCCTCCGCACCCGAGCTATGAGGAAGATGCCCTCCCGGCCGAATTCCCCGCTCAGCCTCCGACCGGGGGCGGCACAAGGAAAGCTCAGAAGGGGCTGCCTCCCCGCGGGTCACGACCCAGCTGTGCCCCAGGTGCTTGGAGGTCACCCAGGGGCCCTTCCCACAAACCCCTCTGCTCCGGTCGAGGGTGGCAGCAACGGTTTGCTACCTGCCTACTGCGTGCCAGGCGCGATGCCGGGGACTTGCGAGGCAGTCCTTTGCGTGATGCGTATTGTCTCCCCGGGAGGCCGGCAGTGTGGGCCTGGGGTTTAGCACGGGGATTCTGGAGCCAGGCTGCCCAGGTTCGAATCCTAGCAGTACCACATGCTAGCCGTGTGGCCTTGGGCAACCTACCTAACTTCTCTGTGCCTCATCTCTCCTCCTATAAAATTGGGATGCTGCCTGATAGACTCTTGAATGAGGACTTAATACCCATGAAGGACTTAGAAGAACGCTGCCCGGCCCGTGGTCAGTGCCGTATAATGTTAGCCATCATCATGATACCTGTTTTGCAGAGGGCAAAACTGAGGCTCTCTGCCCCACAGCATACCGCTGAGTAAGCCACTTCTGTGTCCTTCCAGAATCTATGACCCATTTTATTGCCACGTGAGGTAACTCCCTCAATATGTCACCTGAACGGTTTTCTGCAGCTGGCACCAGCCGGGACCCTGGGGTTCAACCCAAGGGACGTGTATGAGGACTCTAGCCTGGCCTCTCATCCAGTCACATAATTTTAGGGGAGGCCTTTGAGATTATGGATGTCTGTGCTGTCCAGTATGGTAGCCATTAGCCATGTGGCTGTGGGGCCCTGGGGCTGTGGCTAGGTCAAGTTGAGATGTGCTCCAAGGGTGAAATGCATACTTGCAGTTGAAAGATGTAGAACAAAGAACGTAACATCTCCTTGCTACTTTTTCATACCGACTACATTTCGGAATGGTAACGTTTTGGACATGTTGGGCTAAGTAACATATATTATTTTTAATGTTTATTATTTTGAGAGAGAGAGAGGAAGCACGAATGGGGAAGGGCAGAGGGGGAGAGAGAGAGAGAGAGAGAGAGTCCTAAGCGGGGACCCCCCTCAGCGTGGAGCCCCACATGGGGCCGAGTCCCACGACCGTGAGATCATGAGCTGAGCCGAAATCAAGATTCGGACACTGAACTGACGGAGCCACCCGGGCACCCCCAAATAACATATATTATGAAAATAAACTCTACCCGTTCCTTATACGGCTGCTAGAACATATATGACTCAGGTTATATTTCCATTGGACCGTGCTGATCTAGGCCACTATTCCATTTTACAGATGAGGCAAATGAGGCTCAGAGGTGTGATTTGCTTTAGTTCCAGGGTTTCTATTGGCAGAGCTGGGCCTCCAAGTCCCCTTCCAGGGCTCTTCCTAGGGACCCCCATTGCTTCGGGAGGGGGTGGGGGGCTGCCCCGCGTGATAAGGAGACTGGCCGCGGGACGCTCTGTTCCATGCCACTGTGGCTCTGTCTGTCCCTTGCCAGCCGCCCCTTCCCTACCCTCACACTTCCACGTTCACAGCCCAGACCACTATGTCAGAGAATCACCCTACCCAGTTGGCCAGGTGACCAGCCTAGTCTGCTGGAGGGAGACACTGGCCACCCTGTTCTCAACAGAAACCCCATCTCTGCTTTCAAAGACGTCCTGGGGTGGAGGCTCGATCACCCTTCTCACTTGGCTCATTCCAGACTCCCGCACCCTCTCATCAGTCTTCCTGGTGCCTAACCCACGCCTCTCATGCTGCCGTGTGGGCCTCTTCCCCTTAGGCTGGCTCCTGAGGGTTTTCTCAAGAACGGGTGGCGTTATGTAAGGACAGCGCCGAACGTCTGGATGGGTGAGTGCTGGTGACTCCCGGGTCCCCCTCCCTCCCTAAGCAGGGTGATCTCACCCTGCGGTCTCCTGAGCCCTCGCTTCTGGGTGCCGAAAGCCCATTGTCATCCCATCCACGGAATCCACTTTCTAGTAACGTCACACAGACAACAGTGTAGGGCATTGGCCTTTGAGTATTTGATCATAAGTCACAGTAAAAAATGTATTTGTCATCACGACCTTGCATACAACGCATATACACCTTGCTCGTGAAACAAACCTCCCCTTACCATGCGCGCTAGAATTTTACTCCTTTCTACCTGCTTCTATTTTATTTATTTATTTATTTATTTATTTATTTATTTATTTATTTATTTCTTATTCTATTTTTTGTTTGAAGTTTATTTATATATTTTTGAGAGTGAGAGAGAGCAAGTGAGCAGAGGAAGGGCAGAGATTGAGGGAGAGAGAGAGAGAGAGAGAGATGGACAATCCTCAGCAGGCTCCATGCTGTCAGCACAGAGCCCGATGTGGTGCTTGAACCTACGAACCGTGAGATCGTGACCTGAGCTGAAATCAAGAGTCGGACATTTAACCGACTGAGCCACCCAGGCACCCCTGCTTCTGTTTTCTGAATGCTGCTCATAGTCTGCTGCATTGATTTCACACCCCTCTCACCAGTAAGAACCTGCAGATTGAAAAATGCTGGTCTACTCGGGCAAGAACTCAGGCTCTGGAGACAGAGTTGTCCGTGCCTGGTTTCTGGTTTGTAAAGGGAACATAATAATCCTTCATTTGGGGCTGTTGTATAAGGGAGGCACCTGGTATACAGTAGGTGCATAAGAAGCAGGTGGCTGCTGTTATTGCTGCCTGGATGTGCCTGTTTGGGAGGGTGGGGAGAGTGGGCCGTCGCCTCTGGGCTGTGATTTGGGAAGCCAAGGCTGGATGCCTAGGATGGATGTGTTCAAGTTTCACCATTAGATAGTCACTCTTTTGGATTGAGAATTGCCCTGCCTGAGTCCTTTCAGCAGGAGCAGCAGCTCGGGTGCCCACTACCAATGAATTCGTCAGACTCTTGCAGTCCTGAGGGGCACAGGGAATGAAAACTGGGGGGAACATTGTGCCTGGAATGTGGGGGTTAAGAAGCTGGTGAGAGACCTGGAAGGTTCTTTCTGGATATCCACACATAATGCCTGGCCAGCCAGCCCCAACTTCCTATGGAAGCAACACTCTGTGGGGTGCAGACCTGGCTTCCTCGCACACGAGCTCAGTGATTTTGCGGGGCGGAGGGTCCCTCATGCTTCTGAGCCCCAGTTTTCTCCTCTGTAATCCCGTGCTTGACCTCTCTGCCTCACTGGGTGGGGGTGTCGAGCTTCAAAGGAAGGGTGCGTGTGAAGTACCCCACACCATTGCTGGCACATGGTGGGACCAAGAGATCTTATTTGCCCTTCCCAATGCATCTCCCCTCCCCATGTACTCCCTAAAAACCAGCTCTTGGGAAAAGATCTGCCCTGTTGAGACAGTGAGTTCCCCATTACTGGAAATATCACGGGCCCCCCCCCCCCCAAAAAC